TGATAATGCAGTTAGAATTATATTATGTAATGACATACAGTTACATGCATATTAACATATCATGATCCTATAACAACATTTAATCTTCCAAATTAAATGTTGTTATAGGATCATGATATGTTAATATGCATGTAACTGTATGTCATTACATAATATAATTCTAACTGCATTATCAGTCCACCCCCTCCCCCCCTTTTATTTCGTTGCAGCAAAGGTTTTTGAGGGCATGTCATCCTTGAGAATGAATTTTAATACTCTGGTATAGTGTCGATCTGGATCAACAGAGAAGGGCTTGAAGCAAAACCATTAATAACAAATCATTAATCACTTCATGACTTCAAAACCCACTAGAGAAATGTGCAGATTAGAATGAATCTTAATGTGAGAAATCCTAAATACCTATGAGGCCCACCACGAGGAATGGGTATCTCAGGGCGCCACTCCGTTTCTAATACTTTTCCGTCTTTAACTGCAATACTCCAATGATCTAATCCGGGAGTATATCTATTCTCTTTGCTCCCACCCATGACATGAAGCCTACCTCTCCAAAGTGTTGTTGCAGGTGCATACCTGAAATTCACTTGTTAAAAAACTTCATATGTATATGGAAACCATATGAATCAGCTTAAAAGAGTGATATGTTTCTGGACAATACATAGAAATAACATCATTAACAACGTGAAACTTCAATGCTTTGAAAACTCAAAAATTTAGAGGTTCTTAGTACAATGAATAAAAATGTAAATAAATGTTCGTCTCTTCATTTTATTTGAAAGAAAGGTAATTTGAAAACTTATATGTAGCCAATTGATATAATAGTATAATACTACTTACCTCGGGACAGGCAGAGGAGGCATGTTTTGCCATTGCCTCGTCTCAGTGTCCAGAACAAATGTGTGTGTTGTAGGCCCTCTACACTGGGGACCATATTGTCCGTTGACAATATAAATATATCTCCCATCTGTTACCATCCCTAAATGTGAATGGGCCATTTCTTGGGGCATGTCAAACCTCCCTCCCCACGTGTTATCCGTGAAGTTATATATATCAACATGAGAATGGACCTGTAACATGAAAGAATACAATTAGGGCTTATCCATTTTCACCCAAAGACCAAGTTCAAGACTGCCACAATAGACTCAAGGACTTTTTTCATGATGTTTCATGCAAAGGAATAAATTAGATTTGGGTAAGAAAAACCATGCATTTGATGTTTCTGATCTGTTGACAAGCCAATCTCTAAGTACTAAAAGGTTGCCATCCTAAAACTAAAACAACTACTGGGCTGTGTTTGTAACTCAGAAAATGATACGTAAATAAAATAGGAATGAAAAATATAGAAGATGAATTTGGAAGGAAAAGAAATGTGAGAGAGAATTTAAAAACTGCTTCAAAATCATTCAATCAATTTTATATATTTGACTTACCTTTTTTGTTTATATCTATTTCTATTATAAACAATAAGAAATCTAAATGTGTAAATCTTTTTTTAAAAAATTATGTTTCTTGTGTAATTTTCATAGTACACTTGCCATTAAAAAAAGATACATTGCCTTTAGCTTTTTTTCATCCCCAACCCTTAAGTTTTCCTTTTATTGAGCTTTGATTTTGGAAAGCTATGTAAAGATTAATGCATTCATAGGCGTACAAGTTGGGAAGGTTTAGTAATTACTGATAGAGTAAAGGAAAGAGACTACTAGATGCCACTACCACCTCATCTTCATCAAACAATCTACTAAGCTAAAAGAAGCTCATTCACTAAGAAATAATAAGCCTATAATCTGCCGTAAAAAGGTAATAACAAAAAGAGTAAATTCCCAAAACTAGTCCTTTGTAATAAGGTGTTTTCCCAAATTAGTCCTCAATAAGTTTTAATTACCTATGTGATCCTCTATAACTGAGATTTATTCCCAAGATGGTTCTTCGTAAATAATGTTACCCAAATGAGGATTAATTGAGGGTATTTTGGTATTTTTATCCGCTAAATTTAGAATTAATTCTTAAAATGATCATTTATAAAGAAGTGCCTTCCCAAAATGGTTTTTTCTAATTCAAGATGTGTATTTGATTTGAAATTTAAAATAATTTTTTATATGTTTTAAATAATTCATGAATTATTTATAGTCAATGTATTTTTTCAATTTGACATTTATTTAGTTGTACAGAAATAACTATTTCGAGAATATATTTTAAATTTGGATGATCAAAATACTAAAATATCTCCCAATCAATCATCATTTGAGTAATATTATTTACGAAGGACTATCTTGGGAATAAATCTCAATTATAGGGGACCATGTAGGTAATAAAAACTTCTTGAGGACTGAATTGGTAAAACACCTTATTACAAAGGACCATAAGTTTACTCTAACAAAAAACAGTCAGAATGCTCACAAAATCAATGGTACCATATCCAGCAAAGACATAGAGAAGGTTCTTGATCTGTATGGCAGCACCATCAAGACGAGGCACGGGTGCAGAAGCCATCTTCTCCCACTTCAGCTCGGGGGCAGGCAAATCTGCAAAAGTAGCAGATAGTTTCCTCTCTTTAGTAACATCTTTTTTACCCTTCTCGGTTGAGCCCTGTAATGGATAAAGAATGCTTGTTTTGAGCCACCAAATGAAGAAACTCCATCAAGAATGTTTAGAATTTGAAAGATGCGATATAAACAATCAAATATCTGTCAACTGCTAGCAGCATAAAAAGGAAAAATACGAAGAATTCACTCAGCAACAATGTTCCAATTTCTCTGAGTCATTAAAACAAACAGAACGGGGGCACTATGGCGAATGTAAATCATGCGCGGGATACCTTGGAGAGGTGGTGGGTCTGATTTGGGAAGACGAAATCAATGGAACCCTGAGGAGCCCAGTAAGAGGAAGAGGAAGCCCAAAGCAGATCTGCTACGAGAGCAGCCCCCAACAACCCCAAACATATAAACACCAGTTTCACTGTTCTGGGCTTTCCGGCGGAGGCTCCGGCGCCTGCTCTGCCGCCCAATCTCATCTCATCGGCTGCCCGATCTTGCGTAAACCTCCAGTGAAGGGTCTGATCTAACCACCTGCAATGTGAATGCTCCACACAATCCTCTAATGGTTCTTTTTTATAAATCCCCTGGCATGGAGATGTAGTAACCAAGAAATCAAGAATCCAGCTGATTAATACTTAAATGTCACCAATTAACTGTTGGCAAAGAGCAAGAGCATGATCATGTTGGTTGCACAACCAATGAGTCTGGTATCCGTGGATGATACCGTGGCGCTCTTATTTGTAGAATTCAGACATCATATACTTCTTATTCTTTGATATGATTAATGATTGGATTTTATCATTTGATTAGATCTGATTGTAGTATAATTGAATTTTAATTTGTTTTAAATTAAACTTATAATTATTACAAAAAATTAATAATTTTTAAATATTGCAATTCATATATACATAGAAACAGTAAAATAAGAAAATCAATGACAATAACTAATCATTAATATATTTAAACATTTTCTTTGAAATATCAAAAATCTTTTCAATATCATTACTTTTTTTAGTCTTTGTAAAAGGAGAACAATTTATTTGTCTTTATATATTGAAGAGAATGTATTATTACTCGGTATTATAATAACCAAATATTAGAAAATAAGGATATTATTCTACAAAACTATTACATTCTTTATCCATATTGCATAGTAATATATTGATTGTTACTGTAACACTCCAGATTTGAAATAAATGTTAGACATGATTTTATTATGTGGCCCGAGTTATCATTTCTCTAATTAATTGATCATTGACCTAATAAATACCATACGTACTTAATGGGTAATTATTCGATGGACGTAATTACCCTTATGACCTAATTAGGATTTCCCCTTGGGTGTATATATATAGAGGTCAATAGGCAGAGATCAACACACCAATCTTACGCCTCCTCTCTGCCTCTCTATTCTCTTGAGTCTTCCTCACCTTAGCCATCATAACGATACACCCTAAACGGGAATTCGATTTGCGTGAGAATCATGGCCTCATCCCTAACCACGTTTACAGTATTATCAGGTACACATGATTAAATCCTTAATTTATATTTTATGTTTAAAAATTGATCAACATGTGGTATCAAAGCTTTATGTTGATTAATCAATCCTTATCGTTTTTCCGAAACCAAACTACCAAGTTTTTTTTCCCTTTAAAGATCCGATAAAATTGGATCGGAAATTAGTTTTCTATCCCTGACGAAATCCTCTGATCTTTGAGATTTTGGTTTAATGTTTTGTTGCCATATCCCTTACGTAATCAATTCTTATGGCCTTATGTTTTCAATTCTGTAATTCAAATCGGAAGGCGACTGTGAGAAAATTCTTTTTGAAATTCTTGTTTTTTTCCGATTTGGATCAGTGGTGTCTCCACAATAATTCACTGCAAAACGGAATCTCAAGTTGGAAAAGTCAAAATCAGTTTTCAAGATTTCCATTATATGACTTTTTTTTATCACATTTTTTTTCACGGAAATCACACAAAAAACAGATTTGGTTTCCAAGCTTATTTTGATGAAATCATCTTATTTTGGTATTTGATTTACTCCCTCCGTCCCAAATTATAATGCATGTTTACTATTTACAGGGTCAAACTTCATTCACTTTCTTTCTCTATTTTCGTTAGCAATTTGATAAAATAAAATATTATTGTCACTACTAGTTTTGTAGATCTTTTGATGTAGTTTTTTAATATGTAATTTTTATTTTTTAATTCTATACCATTTGTCATATATAATGGTTTGAAAATAATTTCAGTCAAACATCGTAAACCGAAACAGGCGTTATAAAATGGGACGGAGGTAGTAGAATATAATTGTGTTTCCTTAAATTGTATGGCATATCTCACTTTTGCATGATACTAGACTCGTACCCGTGCGATGCACGGGCTATTAATTTACATATATTTAGTCAAAATTTGAAATAATAGAAAATGTTACAAAACCGGAAAGATTTCATAAATTAATATTATTCCCCAAAAAGGGAATTCTATGCACTAATGAGCAAGGTCGATATGAAGCGGAATCAGTTTTGGAACACTTCTTTATAAACTACATTCGTAGAGAAAGATACATTGCTAATATTTATCCTTCTAAATTTAGAATTTCATAACAAAAATGTAACATTCGTTATCATTATTATATGCATACAAACATGGAAGATATATCATAATCATAATAGACATACAAATAGTTAACATGTCGGATACATTACATATAAAAATCATTTCAATACTTTAATTGTGCAATAAATATAGTAACTTATAATATATAAAAATATATTATTTTTAATAGAATTTTATTAAAATACTTTTTTAAACATGTGAAATAAAATAACAAAAAAATGGACCTAGTTGACCGCAACCAACCCGATTAAATCTTTAATTGATGTTGAATTGAAAAAGTAAATATGTGAAATTAACCCGTCAAAATAAATCCAAACCCGAGTTAAATTAGATCAAAATTGAATATACACAAACCCATCAACCCATTTAAGCCCCTTACATTTTTTTTAAAACTAAACCAACCCAGCCCAATTGTATAAACCCAGCATACTACAACCCTTCAACCCAGCCCACTAATAAAACCTAAACATATTTTCTACCCTAGCTACCCTTCCAAAACCAAAAACCGACTCTCTCTCTCTCTCTCTCTCTCTCTCTCTCCATCGCCCTCCGTTTCCGCCGTCACGCTCCCTTTCCACCGTCGCCCTCCGTTTCCGCCGTCACGCTCCCTTTCGGCCGCCGCCTGTCTCGCTCCCTCCTTCTCTGTCTCTACATCTCTGTTTGATGGATCTTCGTTTATGGATGTAAGATTCTTGTTTCGAACTTCATTTCTATGGATCTTTCTCTCTTTACCTTTATACGAATTCTTTCTATCTCATTTAACTCGTTGTATATATATGTCGATTTAGTTCATCCGATATATATATATATATATATATATATATATATATATATATATATATATATATATATATATATAGACACACACACACATATATATTATAGCTATATACGTAGCTATATATATCTATATAGTTATATATAATGTATGACCAAAATAAGGAAGATATGATGCAACGTATATACATAAAATATAGAGAAAAGAAGTTCATTCTAATATATTTTTTTAAACAAATTCTTATAACATTTCAGTTTAATATGTCCCGTTATAATTTCAAAAAAATTTATTTGCCTATCAATACTTCTTTTTGATGTATGAATATGTATTTTTTTAACAAATTCTTATAATATTTTAGTTTAATATTTTTTTAACATATTAATATACATATACTTATTTTATATATTATATATTATATTTTATATATAATTATTACTCCGTATTAACTTAATATATCATATAAAAGTCCCTACATCGGACGGAGTGTGTGTCTGAATATAGGGCTGTGATGATATGGAAGGACTGAAATCTGTTATGGTGAATTTTTAGGATTTTAATGTTTGATGCATCAAAGAAAATGAAAGTATCTTGGCGTGGCGTAATGGAATTAACCCCCGCTGTTGCAGCCATGGCGATTTCATTTCTTATATTGCCTCAAACTTAAAACCAGATTAAAAAACTGAGCCTTTATTGTATATTATTATATGTATATATATACACGTGGTGTATGGCATTATATATATATATATATATATATATATATATATATATATATATATAATGTAAAGAAGGAAACACCATTGTCTTAAACTTGTCATTGATGTGGAGAGTTGGATGCTCAATGAGAAATAGAAATAAAGAATGAGAAATAAGAAAAGTGGGAACCTGAGGATTTGTGATGTTGGTGAATCAGAGAATGACCTATTATTTATACTATCAGTATTTGTGAGATTGGTATGGGATATAATGGATGGATTTGACACAAAGTTACTTTTTCATCTACTTTATGGAGCCACTCAATTTTTTTTTCCCAATGCAACTTTATAGAACCACTAAAATTGAATCGACATAAGTTACTTTTTCATCCACTTTATGGAGCCACTCAATTTGTTTCTCAATGCAACTTTATACAACTTTTTATCAAATCTACTTTATGGGGTAACTAAATTTTTGTTCCTTAATGCAACTTTATGAAAAAACTAAATTGAATAGACATAAAGCAATTGCATTGAGCCCAACACCACGCCAGGCTCAAACCCGAACCACAAAGCAGGCCCAAACCCGTCCACCAAACCCTCACTTTAGGCGGGAATACTATTCACAAAATGCACATAGCATTGTATATAGTAGGATATTCTGTTTCCTTATTTTATTGACTTATTTTACCAAGAATAGCAAAACTAAATAAGGGATATGCTAAAATACCATTAAAAATTAAATTGTTTTTTTACTTGTTGGAAAATCTCTTGCCTTATATGCTTTTTGATTTTCTGATTAAATTAATCTTAATGAGTCCCCAATTTTTTTCGTAGCCCCGCCCCAAATCGCTTTAACTTTTGCAATTAATTAATTATTTATTTATAAATCATTTGACTAATTTAAATAAAATTTATTTTATGATTAGTTAAATTGATTTATTTTGCTTGACTTGAATAATACCTTAGAGTACACTTCTGCCCAAAGGTGATGTGTAATATTTGTAAAATTTATTTCAAGTCTTATCAAGCATTGTCATTTAGTACATATCCTTAAATAGATATTTACATGACACTCGCCTTAAATATATAATATTTCACTTCTATCCAAAGATGATGCGTTATAGTTATGTACTGCGAACTAAATATATATATGTGCATTAAATTTAAATGTTTCACTTCTGCCCAAAGGTGATGTGTTACATTCAAATTGCACATCATTATTTTATTACTCATAATACTTAAATAAGTGGTCATAACCAAAGTGAAAGCCATTTGTTTAAGTAGAATTAAATTTAGTCTATTATTTTGGTGTTATAATAGACTCTTATCACAGCTTCATTACTATATAATGGTCCTTAACTTCGCCAGCCTTAGTTCATTACCCCTTAACTTCTTCTTTAATTATGTGTCTTATTTCTCTCATCTGAATCCATTATCAGCCCCAAATATGGGAATTGAAACCTTGAACGGTGCGAATTTTTCTTCATGGAAAGATTCACTGATGCTAACTCTTGGCATGTTGGATTTTGATTATGCACTGAGAGAGCCTGCCCCTCCTGCCCTCACTGATAAAAGTACTGCTGAAGATAAAATAGTACATGAGAGATGGGAGAGGTGCAACAGAATAGCTCTTATGCTCATTAAAAATTCCATCAGCATAATCATCAGGGGAGCTATTCCAGATTCATCTAATGCTAAAACATATCTGGCTTCTGTAGAGGAACAATTCAAAGCAACTTCTAAGGCACATGCTAGTACCCTCATTTTGAAGATGGCGACCACAAAATATGACGGGAATAGCGGAATTCGTGAGCACATCATGATGATGAACGACATGGCCCGTAAGCTCAAGGGATTAGACATGGAGATCAGTGAAGGTTTTCTGGTGCACTTCATAATGACTTCTCTTCCTGCATCTTTTGAAGCTTTCAAGGTCAACTACAACACCCAGAAGGTAGTGGTCGATGAATGAGTTGATTGCTATGTGTGTACAAGAAGAAGAGCGTCTCAAGCTGGAGAAACCGGATGTGGCTTACCTCATGACCGCTAACCCAAAGAAAAGGAAGGGCAATGTCGATAAGAAGGATGTTTCTAAAGTCTAGAAACGTGATAAAAGTGCTTCTTCCGGCTCTAAGAACTCCAAAGGGAAGTCTTACTGCCGCAAGGAAGGACATAGACAGAAAGACTGCCAAGACTTTAAGGAGTGGCTGACGAAGAAAGGTAATCATCTTTATATGATACTTGAGTCCTTTAATTTAAATGTTCCAACTAATATATGGTGGTTTGACTCTGGTTCTATGGTTCATGTAACCAACTCACTTTATGGATTCCTTACAATCCAGAAGCTGGAAAGAAACCGAAGAACACTTAAACTGGGGAATGGAACAGAACTAGCTGTCGAAGCCGTGGGAACCTTAGAATTAATAATGAAAACTGGTTTATGTATTAAACTTTATGATACCTTATATATTCCCGAGATTACTCGGAATTTAGTATCAGGACCAAAGTTAGACATAGACGGTTTTGATGTTTCTCATGGTCATGGCAGACTTACTATTAGTTTCAATTCTCAAGTGTTTGGTCATGGTTTTCTGGATGGTGATCTCTATAAATTAGAACTAGATGATGATTTTTCCAAATCTTTGTTGTCATATAATATCAATCAGACACTAACAAAGAGAAAACGAAAACGAGACTTAGAAACTTCATCCATGTTGTGGCATCAACGCTTAGGCCACATTTCACGAGAACGTTTATCAAGACTCGTGAAACATGAAGTGTTACCATCTCTCGATTTCAATGATTTTGGAACATGTGTCAAATGCCTTAAAGGTAAAATGACATCAGTGAATAAGAAAGGTGCCACTAAAAGTTCTAATTTATTAGAGCTCATTCACACTGACATTAGTGGTCCTTACTCTATCATTGGCATAACTAGACATAACTCATTTATCACTTATATTGATGATTATTCTCGATATATGTACTTGTATCTTATTAAAGAAAAATCTGAATCACTTACAACTTTTAAAGATTATAAAACTGAAGTTGAAAAACAACTTGATCGTCAGATAAAAGTTGTAAGATCAGATAGAGGAGGTGAATATTATGGTAGACAAACTGATGTGGGTCAAGCTCCTGGTCCATTTTATGAGTTTTGTAAGTCCCAAGGGATTGTGAACCAATATACCATGCCCGGTACTCCTCAGCATAACGGTGTTGCTGAGGGAAGAAATAAGACCCTAATGGACATGGTACGCAGTATCTTAGCCAACTCAGGTTTACCTCTATTTCTCTGGACCGAGGCCTTAAAAACAGCCGTTCATATACTCAATACGGTTCCTTCTAAATCTGTCCCTAAAACTCCTTATGAACTCTGGACAGGAAGGAAACCAAGTCTAAGATATATGAAAGTATGGGGTTGTCTTGCCGAAGCTAAACTTTATAATCCCTTCTTGAAGAAACTCGACATGAAAACTGTAACTTGCTACTTCATTGGTTATCCTTCTCACTCAAAGGGTTACAGATTTTATTGTCCTTCCCACGTCACTCGCATTGTAAAAACCAAAGATGCTCATTTCCTTGAAGATTTTAAGGTCAGTGGGAGCAGTGAAAACCCTTATGATGAATTTCTAGAAGTACAAGATGTGGGGGGGAGACTTGTCGATTACTTTACCTCCAATTACTCCTCTTGTACTCAATTCCAATCCGCAGTACACTGCACCTCCTCCTATTCCAAATGTACTTGGAAATGAAGACACCTCAAATGATCATCATCAAGACAATGCCGCCAATGCTCGATCCGAAAATCTGCTCAGGAGGTCATCTAGGTCTAAAAGGCCTACTAATTTTTATGATTATGTTACCTACCTGACTGAAGCAGAAATGGATGCTGGAAAGTTTACTGATCCTACCTCTTATAATGAAGCCATTAACAGTGATCAGTCTTATGAATGGAATAAAGCCATGATTGAAGAGCTTGACTCCATGAAGAAAAATGATGTTCGGGATTTGGTTGAATTACCCAATGGTGTAAAACCCGTAGGATGTAAATGGGTCTTCAAAACAAAACTGGACCCGAATGGAAACATTGAACGCTACAAAGCGAGATTGGTTGCAAAGGGCTACACTCAGAAAGAGGAAATTGACTATCAAGAGACCTTTTCTCTTGTCTCTCGAAAGGATTCCTCAAGGATCGTTATGGCCCTTGTAGCTCATTTTGACTTAGAGCTACATCAGATGGATGTCAAAACCGCTTTCCTTAATGGCGATTTAGATGAAGAAGTATTCATGAAACAACCCGAAGGATTCAAGTCTGAAGGTCAAGAGCACTTAGTCTGTAAGCTAAAGAAGTCCATATACGGGTTGAAGCAGGCATCACGTCAATGGTACCTAAAGTTGCATCAAGTCTTGAAGTCAGAAGGTTTCATAAAGAATCAAGTGAATCAATGCACCTACCGCAAGATGAGTGGGAGCAACTTTACTATACTTGTCCTTTACGTAGATGACATTCTATTGGCAAGTAATAGTTTAGACATGTTGCATGAGTCCAAGCGCTTACTCTTGCGTAACTTTGACATGAAAGATCTCGGAGAGCAGATATCGCTTACATTGCTGGAATGTTGGGTCGTTATGAGACTAATCCTGGTCTTGATCACTGGAAAGCAGCTAAGAAAGTTCTTCGATATCTATAAGGGACAAAAGACTATAAACTAACTTACAAAAGGAGTGATAATTTAGAAGTGGTTGGTTATTCTGATTCTGATTTTTCTAAGTGCAAAGATGACAAGAAATCCACTTCAGGGTATATCTTTATGTTAGCTGGCGGACCTATCTCGTGGAAGAGTCATAAACAAGAGTTGACTGCAACTTCTACAATGATGGTAGAATACATTGCGGTGTACAACACAACCTGTCATGGGATGTTGCTCAGAAACCTCATCACTGGACTCAAAGTAGTTAATTCCATCTCTCGACCATTGAAGCTTTATTGTGATAACTCAGCCGCCGTTAGTTTCCCGAACAGTAACAGTTCGACTGGCGCTGCTTTATATCTTGATACAAAGTACTTGTTCGTACGTGAGCGAGTTGAGGAAAATAAACTTTGTATTGAGCATATAAGTACTAAGAATATGCTTGCGGATCCGATGACTAAAGGTCTCCCTCCTAAGATTTGCGAAGAACATGTTTCAAAGATGGGGTTTTCTAAAGACCTTATTTAGTTGCATATTGTACTTGCTTACATTTAATAATAAAATTTCCTCATTGTTTTGTTTGTTTTGTCTCTGAATGTGTCCATGCATGCCTAAAGACATATAGACAACATTTATATACAAAATAATGTTATGGGCTTAATTGTCAATTTGATCCTTAGCTTATTTAAGTTTTAAATTTGGTATTGTAGTATGATTAATGGGGGTCTTGAATTGAATATTGATTCAATGACTGTATTTCTCTGCTACAATTTTGGTTTAGAACTAAAATGAGTATTAAAATCTGATCAGACTTATCTAGTACTCATAAAAAATGATTACTCGGCCAAGTGGAAGAGTGTTAGACACGATTTTATTATGTGGCCTGAGTTATCATTTATCTAATTAATTTATCATTGACCTAATAAATACCCTACGTACTTAATTGGTAATTATTCGATGGACGTAATTACCCTTATGACCTAATTAGGGTTTCCCCTTGGGTGTATATATATAGAGGTCATTAGGCAGAGATCAACACACCAATCTTATGCCTTCTCTTTGCCTCTCTATTCTCGTGAGTCTTCCTCACACTAGCCATCATAATGATACACCCTAAACGGGAACTCGATCTGCGTGAGAATCATGGCCTCATCCCTAACCACGTTTACAGGATTATCAGGTACACATGATTAAATCCCTAATTTATATTTTATGCTTAAGAATTGATCAACAATAAATGGATTAGAGAAAGAAAATGCTCAAAAGGATTGATAGTAGTACTCATACCAACAAGGTACATCTTTTTTTCGAGACCTCATCACTCAGAAACTTCAAAGTTAAGCATGTTTGACTTGGAGCAATCCTAGCATGGGTGACCCCTGGTAAATTCCGGCACATACAGCCAGGGTGGGGGCCAGGGTGTTACAAATGGTATCAGTGTAACACCCTAATCGGTCCAGGTCTGCAGCCCCTTTCGGACTAAAGTATTAACTTGGTAATCGTAAAAATTTAAAACATTTCAAACACTTTTATTTATCATAATAATATTTTTCATAATATAAACAGTATGGAGTTTTCAATATTGCGGAAGCTTTACCAAATCATAATTACAACATAATTTATTATGTTCTTTAATTCAAAACCATCACATCCATTCCGACAATCTCGCCTCCGTCTGCCTCCAGGATCACGTCACTTCATCCTTTCTATTAACCTGCGTGTAGCAAATAAAACATACTACACGCTCAGCGTTGAAGTTGAGTAATCATATCTAATGCGTCGAACATCTATATAAACTGAATCTAAATTTATAATCAAATCATTTGATATCATGTGTTGGGATATTTGATTAATTAATCAAAAAGAAAGAAAAAAAATCACAAAGAGGACAAAGAAGATCAAAAGTGGGATATTTGATTGACTTGGTGCATGTCATCAAATCAAAGAGGATTTTTTGGTTTCTTGACTCCTTCTCAAGCCATGCAAGCATACAGAGCTTTTTTTTGTTATAAAAGTAAGGCAATATGTGGGTGGGCAAAAAAAATACATCCAGGTGTAGGGTGTGAAAAGTCTGTTTATAAGTGTCTGGTATTTAGCGCTTGTAAACAGGGGAGAGTTTTTTGTGTATCGTTCTGAAATAGTGAAGACATAATTTTTCTCTCATATTTTCTTCTTGTGTAGTGAGTTTATTTATTTTTCACGTTCTTGATATTTTAAGAGTCTTACGCGCATAAAATCCCAAAAAATTGGTATCGGAGCCAAGTTACATTTGGGGCGGAGGGATTTCTAAGCGGTAAGAGAAGAAAGTCGAGAACTTGAAAAATGGCATCGCTAAAAAGTTCGAATTTTTCTGTCGAACCTTTCGATGGACGTGGCGATT